CTTGGTAAACTTTCACAAACTGAACACACCCATGTAATTAGCACTGTCAAAGAGAAACAGAGCAGGGCCAGCCCCCTGCACCCTTCCCACCTCACCCCACCAAGGGTTTCACTATCACTATCTAATCACCACTCTTGGGTGTAAGTGTCAGAAACTCATCTCCCAGGGACTTAAGCAGAAACCGAATGCTTCCCTCAGCTGAGGGGTCCATGGGTGAACCTTGCACAACTGGATCCAAATGCTTAGATGATGCTGTCGGCTTGCCTGTGAACTTTCTCTGCTGAGTTCTCTTCTGTGTTGACTTTTACACACAGACAGTTTCCTCTTCCCTTTTGATCAGCAAAACTCCAGAATTGCAGTTGAGCAGATGTCCCATTCCTAGATCAATAGTTCTGTGTGGGCTGGGGGGACAGGGTCAGTGTGTGGAATATAGACATGAGCCTGTCTTGGGACACATGACCGTTAGGAGCCGGGAGTGGTGGATCAGCCCCATCTGAGCCACATGTACTTTTGAGTGGGTGAGGGGGGTTCCCCAGGGAAAAGCCTAGATACTGTTATGAGAAGGAAAAACAGGTACCGAGTGGACAGAACCAAGCATGTCCAGTGTACCTGTGCAGTGCCGATCCTCACACGGGTCACTAGAAAACAGGTGTTCACTTGCAAAAAACCACAATCCAAAGTTCCAGGTTGCTCACAGTCTAGAAGAGAAAGCAAAGTACAGTGCAGGGCAGAGTGGGGCATGCGTTGACAGCTGCAGAGGAGGCGGCTGCAGGCGAGGCTGAGATGCCTCCCAATGGGAGTCAGGGCTGGGCATTCGTAGCATGAGTTAGGGAGCTGGGAGAGATAGAGCTTGTTTGATGAACAGGGATGATTCCCGGCTGTCTGAAGCCTGGGATATGGGAGATACGGTTGGAAAGCTGAAGGTTACTGAGTAGGAGAATGGCAGGATCAGATGTGTGGTGTAGGCACCTCTGGGGGCAACTATACAAGATGGACTGAAGGGAGACCAGGTGGGGACTTTGCTAGAATCCAGGAGAGAAGGATGGCTAGAAGCCAGGACCAACGTGACCCTCCCGCAACTGAATGTCCAGGCCATCATCATGATGGTGCCACTGGGACACCATCAGGTCCCTTGACCGTCACGTAACCAGATGTGTCTTCAATGGCCCCAACTTGATTGTTAGCTCCGCCAGGATCGGGATCCTGAGCACTGACTTTCCTGGATTGAATCTTCTGCTGATCTTATCTTTTCTCTATTTTGCAGCCTTTATCTGTCATTTATGTTTTTTGTTCTACTTTTCACATCTTTCAAATTTTTCTTTCAATCTTTCTAATATCTAATGCAATTTAGCCCCAAGGAAAACTGAGAGAAACAAGAAAAAACAAGAAAGGAAATGTACTCTCAGTACTTCAGCTGTGAGCTGTGAGCTTCAGCTATGAGCTGCAGTGTTTTGCTGTGGCTTTAGGTTTTTGATTTTTTTTAAGAAAGAGGGTTACACTCTGTTGCCCACGCTGGTGAGCAGTAGAACGATCATAACTCACTGCAACCTTGAGCTCCTGGGCTCAAGAGGTCCTCCCACCTTGGCCTCCCAAAGTGCTGGGATTACAGGCATGAGCCACTGTGCCTGGCCTCCAGGCATATTTTATGCTTTCTCAAGCTATGCGTAGTATTTTGACAAAAATAAATTTTAAAAAGAGTTAATGTCAAAAAAATTTTCTGTGACTTAGGAAGGACCACTGCTTAGGGTGCTCCTGGGTACCAAAACAAGAAACAGAACTTTCTATTCCCTTTATGACCTCTTGTACTTTTTAGTTCCACCCTTCTCCTGAAAAACATATGATCATTTTCATCATCGTTATCATCACCATCATCCCCACTAATTACTTGTTGGAAATTTAAAGCAGAATTGCCTCTGAGGTTGGAGGGCTGAAGAGGGCATGAGAGATAGGAAATGTCACTTCCTCTGCCTGACTAGCTTTGTGCTCTGGTGTGGGGCTGTGTCTGCCCAGGGAGTGTGGCCTCTTTTCCTGTCTTCACAAATGAAACATGAGCTGACAATGCCCTCATCTGTACCTTGAGATTTTTTTTTTTTTTTTCGAGATGGAGTCTCGCTCTGTCACCCAAGCTGGAGTACAGTGGTGTAGTCTCAGCTCACTGCAACCTCCGTCTCCCAGGTTTAAATGATTCTCCTGCCTCAGCTTCCTGAGTAGCTGAGACTGCAGGCACCTGCCACCACACCCGGCTAATTTTTGTATTTTTAGTAGAGACGGGGTTTTGCCAAGTTGGCCAGGCTGGTCTCGATCTCCTGACCTCTAGTGATCTGCCTGCGTCAGCCTCCCAAAGGGCTGGGATTACAGGCAGGAGCCACCATGCCTGGCTTAGAATTTTATACAACCTCTATGTGTTATCTTTTCTAAAACTTAAACTATAATAAATATGTGCCCCTCATCAAGGGAAGACTTTCAAGGGGGAGATAGGCCTTCCAGGATGGGAAATGGTACCGGACAAAGGCTCAGGACTGTGACACCCACTACAGAGCCCTGCAGTGAGAGTCTGGTTCTTGGATTTATTTTTGTTTGTTTGTTTGTTTACTTTTTGAGACGGAGTCTCACTCTGTCACCCAGGCTGGAGTGCAGTGGCGTGATCTCGGCTCACTGCAACCTCCACCTCCCGGGTTCAAGCAATTCTCCTGCCTCAGCCTCCCGAGTAGCTGGGACTACAGGCACCTGCCATCACGCCTGGCTAATTTTTGTATTTTTAGTAGAGACGGAGTTTCACCATTTGGTCAGGCTGGTGTCAAATTCCCGATCTTAGGTGATCTACCCACCTTAGCCTCCCAAAGTGCTGGGTTTACAGGTGTGAGCCACCGCGCACCCGGCCTGTTGATTTATTTATTATTTATTTATTTTTGAGACAGTCTCTCTCCATTGCCCAGGCTGGAGTGCAGTCACACAATTTCAGCTCCCTGCAACCTCTGCCTGCTAGGCTCAAGCAATCCTCCCACCTCAGCCTCCTGAGTAGCTGGGACTACAGGTCTGCACCACTGCACCAGGCTAATTTTTGTATTTTTAGTAGAGATGGGGTTTGGCCATGTTATCCAGGCTGGTCTTGAGCTTCTGGGCCCAAGCACTTCACCCACTTCAGCCTCCCAAAATGCCGTAATTACAGGCATGAAGTACCATACCCGGCTGGCTCTTGGATTTAAGCCCCTGCCCTTCCTCCTCACTGGGTATTCACGTCTCTGAGCCCCACTGCTTCAGTTAAAACAGACAGGGATGGTCATTTCTGCCTCCTAGGGACTTGGGATGATAGCATTTAATCATGAAGACAAAAGTACCTATCACAGGGCCTGCCTGACTTTTTCTTCCTCATGTCGAACCCTGGTCCCAAATGTGCACTGTGCTGAGTGCAAGGCTTCTACCAGAATGCTCCCAGCTGGGAACTGGTCTTCTGGAGACTCTGTGGCATAGCATGATTCAAGCACCTTCCTAGTTCTTGAGTTTCAGTAATAGGATCTCATAGCAGTTCCTGTAGTGTGTGAGTCACTTAAAAAGACCTCTGGCTTTCCTGGAACACAGGTAACAAATACCTTGGCTTGGGATCAAGATCCTCCCTACCCAGGGAAGAGCTGGGCTGGCCAGGACAACTGTGTTTGGGCCAGAGCAGCAGGGTCCTGCACTCTGCAGGGAGCAATCACACGTAGGAGAGGCCCACAGCCTGGGATCAGAAGTGCCAGGAGCTTAGGAACAGGAGTCCTGGGGTCCCAGCTTTCTTGCTGTCTCTCCAAGCCTTGAGTCCTTCACCTGAAAAATTGACATCATCATGCCCCCCTCAGGGCCCGCTGAGTTAAGTCATCCTGTGGACTTGAAGTACCTAGCACTTGAAGTCAGAAAATGAGTTCCCTTCTCTTTTGGTGCCCCACTGGCAGGAAGCCAACCATCGTCAGCCCTCTGGCACTGGAGGAGCGTTGATCATGTGCAGAGCAGATGAGTGGCTATTCTTCCTGTCTTCCAGGTTTTCCCAGAAAGGCTGTGCAGTCGGCTGGTGACAGAGCTGCTGGGCATCCTCCACCCACCCCTGTTGCCTCCTGATGAGGGGAAGGGGCAGAAATGGGATCTGCTCCCAAGTTAGACCCTGGCTTCTCTCAGTGGTGACCTGGACAGGGGAGTGGGGAAGGCAGGGAGCAAAGGATGCAGGAGCAAGGAGAATACTTCCAGGCCCCTCCCTTCCAAAGTCACCCGGTCTTGAGATCATTGCAGAAGCAACAGGTGCAAAGAGAAGAACACTTTGGGACCTTGGAATGTGGGAGGCCGGCCCAGTGTTCCTTCCACCCTGCGAGACATGCGTGAGATTCCTTTTTTTTTTTTTTTGAGACGGAGTTTCGCCCTTGTTGCCCAGGCTGGAATGCAATGGCATGATCTCAGCTCACCACAACCTCTGCCTCCCAGGTTCAAGTGATTTTCCTGCCTCAGCCTTCCGAGTACCTGGGGTTACAGGCATGCGACACCACGCCTGGCTAATTTTGTATTTTTAGTAGAGTTGGGGTTTCTCCATGTTGGTCAAGCTGGTCTCAAACTCCCGACCTCAGGTGATCTGCCTGCCTCGGCCTCCCAGAGTGCTGGGATTACAGGTGTGAGCCTCCATACCCGACCTATACGACATTCTTAAGGTCCACTAAAGGGCTGGTTGTTGGAGGCCAGAGGATGGCCTGTGAGATACTGGGATTGGAAGAGTAGGTAGCCTATGGGTGTCTCCTCTTGGGGGAGACTCCCCAGGTGGAGGGGGTTCCTTCTCTGCAAACAGTAGCTCAGCACAGGGACAGTAACAGTAATGGGGGCATGTGTGTAAGGAATACTTTCCCAGGTCCCCTCTTCATAGGTGTTTGCAGCAGCATCTCACAACAGCCCTAAGAGGTTAAATGTTGCAAATCCCATTCTATAGAAGTGGAAATCGAGCCTCAGAGAAGTTATGTCACTTTTGGGGCTATCTTCCCCTGTAGAGTGTGACTCCATCGCCATCCTGCTTTACCAGGTACTGAGGAGCCTATCATCATCTCCCATGGATTTATGATCAGCGTTGCAGCTCTCCCAGCAGCCCTGGACAGTGGTGAGTCCCCTCAGTTGGCCGGAACAGTACTCTGCTCTCACCTCTCTGCTTCTCTGGCTCCATGCCAGCTCCGCCTCAACTGGTCTCCTTGTGAACCCACAGGGCTTCAGGACACCCTCCCTCTGGAGCCCATGCTGCCTTCAGCACTTCACCCCCACCAGTGATGGCAACAGTTGGTGTTCTTTGTCCACTTTATTTATTGGCTCATGTTTTTGTTTTTGAGATAGAGTCTCACTCTTTTGCCCAGGCTGGAGTACAGTGGCGCAATCTCAACTCACCACAACCTCTGCCTCCCGGGTTCAAGCAATTTTGCCGCCTCACCCTACCAAGTAGCTGAGACTACAGGCATGCGCCACCATGCCCAGCTAATTTTTGTATGTTTTTGGTAGAGATGGGGTTTCACCATGTTGGCCAGGTTGGTCTCGAACTCCTGACCTCAGGTGATCTGCCCACCTCAACCTCCCAAATTGCTAGGATTACAGGCATGAGCCACTGTGCCTGGCCTTATTTGCTCATTTTGCTATTGTATTGTATTTTTTGAGTCAGAGTCTCACTCTGTCGCCCAAGCTGGAGTGCAGTGGCACAATCAAAGCTTACTGCAACCTCAAACTCCTGGGCTCAAACAGTCCTCCCACGTCAACCTCCAGAGTAGCAGGGACCACAGGCACACACCACCACACCTGGCTTTTCTTTTCTTTCTTTCTTTTTTTTTTTTTTTTTTTAATGTTTTTGTAGAGACAGGAAGGCTATCCATATGTTGCCCAGGCTAGTCGCAAACTTTTAGCTTCAAGGTATCCTCCCACCTCAGCCTCTCAAAGTGATGGGAGTACAGGCTTGAATCATCGCGTCCTGCCTGTTTGCTTATTTTCAATAAGAAAAGTTATTTTCCATAAGAAAAGTTATACCTGTCTTTTTAAACAAAAAATCATACAATGCAGAGCACACACTGTAGCAAGGGCACTCTTCAGTTAGGGACATTACTGCGTGTCCCTCCTGTCCATCCAGGATATTCAAACATTTTCCCATTGCCCAATAATCCACCCAAATCCTGTGTTATGTGCTGCTATCATCCCCCTTTTACAGATGGGTAAACTGAGTCATGGAGAGATCCAATATTTGGTTCAAGATCACAGGCTATGTATGTCAGTATAGTGTGGAAAGTTAGAGGAAAGATCACAGACTACAGAGTGGAAGAGCCTCAGGGAGCCTGGCGGTGCTGTGACGTCCACCAGAGCGCCCGTCAGTTCAACAACCTAAAAGAGTTTCCTCACAGGAATTCTTAAGCAAAAGACAGGAATTCCGTTTGAAATATATTTCCCTCTCCAAATAGATAATGGTAATGTGGGTAGGTAGCTAAGAAGGTAGGACTCACATACAGACAGATTTCTGACCGCATTCTGCATTTGTACTTTTGCTCTCAGCTAGACTGGATTCTGAGTTATGTCTTAAGGCCACATTTCCGGGAGAGCGCCCCACTGAGACCATCATGTTCATGGGAGGCTCTGGTCTGGTGGTCGAATCTGCTCCCTGAAGGCACTGGGCAGTGGGGCACGGGATGGGCGTGCAGGCTGCAGCCCCTAACCGCTGCGCTCTCCTCCCTAAGGCCCCCAGCAGTCAGCATGTGGCTGCCGCGAGTCTCCAGCACAGCAGTGACCGCGCTCCTCCTGGCGCAGACCTTCCTCCTCCTCTTTCTGGTTTCCCGGCCAGGGCCCTCGTCCCCAGCAGGCGGCGAGGAGCGCGTGCATGTGCTGGTGCTGTCCTCGTGGCGCTCGGGCTCGTCCTTCGTGGGCCAACTCTTCAGCCAGCACCCCGATGTCTTCTACCTAATGGAGCCGGCGTGGCACGTGTGGACCACTCTGTCGCAGGGCAGCGCCGCAACGCTGCACATGGCTGTGCGCGACCTGGTGCGCTCCGTCTTCCTGTGCGACATGGACGTGTTTGATGCCTATCTGCCTTGGCGCCGCAACCTGTCCGACCTCTTCCAGTGGGCCGTGAGCCGTGCACTGTGCTCGCCACCCGCCTGCAGTGCCTTTCCCCGAGGCGCCATCAGCAGCGAGGCGGTGTGCAAGCCACTGTGCGCGCGGCAGCCCTTCAGCCTGGCCCGGGAGGCCTGCCGCTCCTACAGCCACGTGGTGCTCAAGGAGGTGCGCTTCTTCAACCTGCAGGTGCTCTACCCGCTGCTCAGTGACCCCGCGCTCAACCTGCGCATCGTGCACCTGGTGCGCGACCCGCGGGCCGTGCTGCGCTCCCGGGAGCAGACAGCCAAGGCTCTGGCGCGTGACAACGGCATCGTGCTGGGCACCAATGGCACGTGGGTAGAGGCCGACCCCGGCCTGCGCGTGGTACGCGAGGTGTGCCGTAGCCACGTACGCATCGCCGAGGCCGCCACACTCAAGCCGCCACCCTTCCTGCGCGGCCGCTACCGCCTAGTGCGCTTCGAGGACCTGGCGCGGGAGCCGCTGGCAGAAATCCGTGCGCTCTACGCCTTCACCGGGCTGAGTCTCACACCACAGCTCGAGGCCTGGATCCATAACATCACGCACGGATCTGGACCTGGTGCACGCCGCGAAGCCTTCAAGACTTCATCCAGAAATGCGCTCAACGTCTCCCAGGCCTGGCGCCACGCGCTACCCTTTGCCAAGATCCGCCGCGTGCAGGAACTGTGCGCTGGTGCCCTGCAGCTGCTGGGCTACCGGCCTGTATACTCTGAGGACGAGCAGCGCAACCTCGCCCTTGATCTGGTGCTGCCACGAGGCCTGAACGGCTTTACCTGGGCATCGTCCACCTCCTCGCACCCCCGGCATTAGTGGAGGCCACAGTTGTAGCGGGTGCCAGGTCCAGGAGGAGAGTGCATGGTGCAGAGGGGGCTGGGGCACACGGAGAAGCAGGTCCCTATATTGACCAAGGAGTTCGTGGTACCCCCCTGAAGTAGGCAAGGACTGCACGTTTCTTTCTCTCCTGATTATTGGTTTTCCTGAGTCCTCTGGAACTGCCTTCTCCTCAGGTTCACTCTTCATGGAAAGCAACTTTTGCCCCTACCTCCTCTGGGCACAGGGTGTGCGTTCAGATGACTTGGCTCCTACTCAAGGGCTTTCTTCCCCTTTAACTCTCTCCTTCTGGGGATACATCCTGCAGCAGCTGAGGGGGTGCCCTAGCACTGGCCGGGAGTGGAGAGGCACTGTGGTGATAAGACTCCAAAGGTCTGTACATCACATACACATGCACACATGCACACATGGCAAAACTCAGAAGTGAAAGGACTTGTCCAAAACCACATGGTGAGAAGGAGGATGAAGGGAGGAGAGAGCTTTTGCTCTGGGGCTCCAGTGGGGAGGAGAGGCCCTGCCTCCTGGGTGAGAAGGGTCAGATTTTCCCATTTTAATTGCTTTCGGGAAGAGCAAGCAGAGTCACGGCCAGGGACACAGCTGAGAGATTGTAGGGGCCAGCCCTACTGGGTCTGTGGGTTTTTCTCCCCATGTGCGGAGACGAGAGATCGTAGAAATAAAGGATACAAGACAGAGAGATAAAAGACAGCTGGGCCTGGGGGACCACTACCACCAAGATGCAGGGACTGGTAGTGGCCCTGAATGCCTGGCTGTGCTGTTATTTATTGGATACAAAGCTAAAGGGTAAAGAGTGTGAGTCATCTCCAGTGATTGATGAGGTCACGTGAGTCACATGTCCAGCGGACAGGGGGCCCTTCCCTGTTAGGTAGCCGAGGTGGAGAGAGGGCAGCTTACATCATTATTTCTCCTATGCTTTTTTCAGAAAGATCAAAGACTTTAATACTTCCACTAGTTTTGCTACTGCTATCTAGAGGGCAGAGCCAGGTGTACATGAAAGTGAAACAGGAGCGTGACCGCTGAAGCACAGCATCACAGGGAGACGGTTAGGCCTCCCGATAACTGTGGGCGGGCCTGACTGATGTCTAGCTCTGACTACCACTAGACCACGGTCCGCTTGGTGACAGGCGTCTTCCCAGACGCTGGCATTACCGCTAGACCAAGGGGCCCTCTGGTGGCCCCCTCTGGGCATGACAGAGGGCTCACACTTGTCTTCTGGTCACTTCTCACCATGCCCCTTCAGCTCCTATCTCTGTATGGCCTGGATTTTCCTAGGTTATAATTGTAGAGCAAGGATTATTATAATATTGGAATAAAGAGTAATTGCTACAAACTCATGATGAATGATATTCGTATATAATCATATCTATGATCTCTATCTAGTAGAACTATTCTTATTTTATGTATTTTATTATACTGGAACAGCTCGTGCCCTCGGTCTCTTGCCTTGGCACCTGGGTGGCTTGCCACCCACAACAGATAGAGGAGGCTTTGAATGCTGAGACCAGAGCTTATCATCCTGGACAGGCCTGGAGGGAGACAATAAGTGGGAAAGGTAGGGGGAGAGAAGGCTGGGGAGGGCTGGGCAGAGAGCCAGGCATAGTGAGTGGCAGAGCAAGACGGGGACAGCAGGATCAGTGCCTGGAAGGCAGGTGTGCCCGTCAGGGGGAAGTGGAACTCATCAGGCTTGCCAAGAGGTTGGAAGGGAAATGGCTCTGGGTTGGATCTGTCTTCCCTTGGTCCTTCCGGGCCAGGCCTTGGAGGAGAGCAAAGGATGATCCCTGCCTGTGAGCCACACTTCCTAGCTCTGGGGGCAAAAGGGCTTAGTAAAGGAATGCTGGATGTGTATAGGGTTTAGTCCCAAGCTCAGGAAATGAGAGTCAGTAAGTATCCGGTACATGTTTAAAAGAAAAGCTCACGGAACCTCTGGAAAGGACGGGGAAGCTGAGTTAGCCACATAAATGAACCCAAGTCACACTGGAACACAGAGCTGGTCTGGGAACTGTGTTGGATGCCACCAGAGCTTCTGACCCTGTTACCTGTGAAATGAGGCAGTTTCCCTCACGGTTGCCATCAGCTACCAGGAGGGATGCAGGTGGTCACCAGCTTCTGATCCTCATCCTGGCTGTGGCCATAGATGGGGGGATCCTGGATTGTGGAGCCACATCGTCCCTGCAAAGCAGGCAGGGCAAGGGAGATCTGACGTTTTCTGCTTTACGTGGAGGGAGCAGAGGCACATTAGCCTTGAAGTTGAAGCTCATTTTAGGTTCCTTCCAGCTTTAGAAGCTTCAACCCAATGAAACTTGAATCTGTCTCTCGTGACAATAATAGGAGGAAGGTATTTAAAACCCCAGATTTATGAATGGGTACTACGTGGCTTAGAGAGTATCTCTCTTTGTTCTTGTTCAGGTGGTTATAACAAAATACCTTAAAAGCGGGTAACTTGGCTGGATGCAGTGGCTCATGCCTGTAATCCCAGCACTGTGGGAGGTCGAGGTGGGTGAATCACCTGAGGTCGGGCATTCAAGACCAGCCTGGCCAACATGGCAAAAACCTTCCTCTACTAAAAATACAAAATTAGCGGGGTGTGGCGGCACATACCTGTAATCCCAGTTACTCAGGAAGCTGAGGCAGGAGAATCGCTTGAACCCGGGAGGCGGAGGTTACAGTGAGCAAAGACCATGCCATTTCACTCTAGCCTGGGTGACAGAGCAAGACTCTATCTCAAAAAAAAAAAAAAAGACTGGGTAACTTATAAACATACCTTTTTCTCACGAGTCTGGAGACTGGGAAGTCCAAGCCACCGGTGTTGTCTGATGAGGGACCACTTTTTCACAGACAAGTGCCTTCTAGCTGTGTCCTCTTATGGTAGAAAATAGGAGGCAGCTCTCCAGGGCCTTTTTTTGAGACGGAGTCTGGCTCTGTCGCCCAGGCTGGAGTGCAGTGGCACAATCTCGGCTCACTTGCAACCTCTGCCTCTCTCTGCCTCCTGGGTTCAAGCAATTCTCCTGCCTCAGCCTCCTGAGGAGCTGGGACTACAGGGATGCACCACCATGCCCAGCTAATTTTTGTGTTTTTGTAGACACTGGGTTTCACCATATTGGCCAGGTTGGTCTCAAACTCCTGACCTCAAGTGATCTGCCCGCCTTAGTCTCCCAAGTGCTGGGATTACAGGCATGAGCCACTGCACCCAGCCTCCAGGGCCTTTTTAAGAATGTCACTTATCCCATTCTTGAGGTCTCCACCCTCATTATCTAATCACCTCCCAAAGGCTCCACCTCCCAACACCATCATATTGTGGGTTAAGATTTCAACCACATGCCAGGCGTGGTGGCTCATGCCTGTAATGCCAGCATTTTGGGAGGCTGAGGTGGGCAGATCATTTGAGGTCAGGAGTTTGAGACCAGCCTGGTCAACATGGTGAAACCCTGTCTCTACTAAAAATACAAAAAATTAGCCGGGTGTGGTGGTGCACACCTGTAATCCCAGCTACTCAGGAGGCTGAGGAAGGAGAATCCCTTGAATCCAGGAGGCGGAGAGTGCAGTAAGCCAAGACAATGCCACTGCACTCCAGCCTGGACAACAGAGTGAGACTCCATCTCATGCCCAGCCAGACAGTAGCATCCCTTCATTTGCCCCTGTTTAAGTCACACATTTTATTGATGGCTGCAATTAATGGCCTCTTTGTATCCCAGTCCTCTGCCGTATGACCCACCCATTCTCCCCTGAGTGCCAAGGTGGCAGGACATGCTTGACTGGTTCCCCAATTTGCTGTCTGCACATGGGCAGTACATCAAGCCTCAGAGTGAACCCAGGTTAACTTTCAGGACAAAGAAAGTGGCCTGGCTGACTAGGCACAGTAAAGCCAAGGCTGGGTAGGTACATACTTGTGGTGCTGATCACGTATGTCTCATTTCTCTGTGAGAGTGCAGTCCCTTGGCCGGACGCGGTGGCTCAAGCCTGTAATCCCAGCACTTTGGGAGCCCGAGACGGGCGGATCATGAGGTCAGGAGATCGAGACCATCCTGGCTTATATGGTGAAACCCCGTCTCTACTAAAAAATACAAAAAACTAGCTGGGCGAGGTGGCGGGTGCCTGTAGTCCCAGCTACTCAGGAGGCTGAGGCAGGAGAATGGCGTAAACCCGGGAGGCGGAGCTTGCAGTGAGCCGAGATCTGGCCGCTGCACCACAGCCTGGGCGACAGAGCACGTCTCAAAAAAAAAAAAAAAAAAAAAAAAAAGAGAGTGCAGTCCCAACAGGAAAGTTTAATTGCTGGGGACTGCCCAGTGCTGTGACGGGGCACAGAGTTCTGGGTTGCTGTGGGGGTGACTGCATTGACCACGGTTAGTTGCTTGCTGTATTGACACTCTGTGCTGTGTGACCATGGCTCCTGCCATCAAGAAGTGGAGTCTGTTTCCCCACCTCTGAATCCAGGCTGGTCCTGTGACTTGCTTTGTCCTGTAGATGAATGTAGTGCAACTTCCTGTGAGCCAGTTTCAAGCATAGGCCTTGGAAGGAAAACTTTACCTCCACCTGTCTTAGGTTTTCAGCTGGGGCTCTGCTATGGTTTGATCGTGTCTCCCAAAGTTGGAGACACTTGATCCCCAGTGTTGTGAGGTGGGGCTTGATGAAAAGTAATTAGGCCACATGGGTTATGCCCTTGTGAATGGGTAGATAACATTATTTCTGGGCCCAGGCATGGTGGCTCATGCCTATAATCCCAGCATTTTGGGAGGCTGAGGTGGGCGGATTACTTGAGGTCAGGAGTTTGAGACCAGCCTGGCCAAGCATGTAAAACCCCATTTCTACTCAAAATACAAAAATTAGCCAGGTGTGGTGGCGCATGCCTGTAATGCCAGCCACTTGGGAGGCTGAGACAGGAGAATCGCTTGAACCCAGGAGGCGGAGGTTGCAATAAGCTGAGATCGCACCGCTGTACTCCAGCCTGGGCAACAAAGCAAGACTCCATCTCAAAAAAAAAAACGTTATCTCAGGAGTGAGTTGGTTATCCTGAGAGTGGTGCCTTATAAATGAACGATTTCATTCTCTGTCTTTCTCTCGTCCTCACTTTGCCCTTCTGCCATATGATGCCTTCCACTGAACTAGGACACAGCAAGAAGGCTCTCGCTAGATGCTGGCTCCTTGATCTTGGGCTTCCCAGCCTCCAGAACTGTAAGCCAACTTCTATTTATTATATATGACCCATGCCGGGTTCAGTGGCTCACGCCTATAATCCCAATACTTTGCAAGGCTGAGGCAGGAGGATTACTTGAGACCAGGCATTCAAGACCAGCCTGGGCAACATAGTGAGACCCCATCTCTACAGAGTTAAAAAAAATTAGTGGGGCATGGTGTCGTGCACCTGTAGTCCTAGCTCCTTAGGAGGCTGAGTTGGGAGGATTGTGTGAGCCCAGAAGGTTGAGGTTACAATGAACCATGATCATACCAGTGCACTCCAGCCTGGGTGACAGAGCAAGACACCTGTCTCTAAATAAATGACGCTGTATGTGGTATTGTTATAGCAAAACAAAACAGATTAAGAGACTTTTTAATGAAAAGACAGATTCACAAAGAAAAACAATTTTTTTGTTTTTGTTTTTTGGAGGCAGAGTCTTGCTCTCGTCCCCCAGGCTGGAGTGCAGTGGAGCCATCTTGGCCCACTGCAACCTCCACCTCCCAGTTTCAAGCGATTCTCTTGCCTCAGCCTCCCGAGTAGCTGGGATTACAGGTGTACACCACCACGCCCGGTTACGTTTTTTGTATTTTTAGTAGAGAAGAGGTTTCACCACGTCAATCAGGCTAGTCTGGAACTCCTGACCTCAGGTGATCCACCTGCCTTGGCCTCCCAAAGTACTAGGATTACAGGCATGAGCCACTGCGCCCGGCGAAAAACAGTTTATTAACACAGGCAGCCAACATCACTCGGGATAAGCCTCAACAAAAAGTAACAAAGTGATGGCTTGGAACACTGTCTTACACAACATTTTTAAAAAGACAGTAAATTTGTAGAGAAATGACGACCAAGGACAACAGTTTTAGGCTTCCAAAGGTAGTAAACTATGGGAAGGTAAATATCCGAGAGGAAGCTGATGCAGCAGGATTTGTCTGTAGCAGCCTCTGGTACCACCTCTGGCTGGGCAGAGTTAATGGTTGTCTCCAGTGACGGAGAATTTATATTGTGCCTTTAGGCAGAAAAGGGGAGGGAAACCTGACCTTTTCCTGCACTTTCTGCTTCTTAATTGCCATCAGCTGAAAATCATTTTTAACGTGAAAAAGGCATAATCTGAGTTGACGCCTCTGCTTTCCTCCACCTGAAGAGAACCGGCGTGTGCTCCTTTGTTTCGGACCTCCACCTCTGCCCCGAGAAAGCCCCGGCCAGCCTGCTGGACAAGCAGGGACTATGGGAGGGAGAGTTCAGGTGTCCCAATCCAGGCCATCCTAGACCCACCAGCCCCTCACCAGCCCCTGCTGATCAACACGCAGCCGCTTCAGCTACCTTCTGTTGGCCAAAGCGAGTCCCAGGGCTCATCCAGATTCAGAGGTGGGGAAACTGAGTCCACCACTTGAGAGGAGTAGCTATAAAGACATATGAGCGAGAGCAGCTGAGCCCAGAACTGCCGGCCAAGTCGAAGACTTTAGGAGCAATAAAAGTGCTTATTGTGTGTCAATCATTTGAGTGTTGCGGTGGTTTGTTACAAAGCATTGCCTAACCCATACAGTTGAGAACAGAGGGCTCCTGGCACGTGCAGCTTCCAATTTTCCATGAGGGTCCAGGCTCCCTCCCTACTGGTAGGGCTGGAATTAGTCTCTGCCTTTACCTGTAGGCCCTGTGATGCAGCTGGAAGTGTCTAGGCCCAGCAGTCACCCGCAATTAGGCACAGGCATGCTTGCTGCCTCTGCTGTGGCTGTGGGAGCTCAGGAGGGGCAATCAAAGCACTAGATGTGCTGATGGGTGCATAGGAACAGTGTTGGCTGGAATAGGTAGAGAACCCACCCACTATCAAGAGGCTGTTGGGGCCTCAATGGTGGGCCTTATTTTTGTTATTTTGCAATCAAGAAGATATATTATCCACATCAACACTGTGTCAACTCCTCATGGCCACCACAGACCCTGTGTCCCCTAGCTTTGCCTTTGCAGTGCCTTTGTCACCCACTCCTACAGACCGCCCCCGCCACAACTGCCCCATCACCTCTACAGGGTTAAATCAATTGTTTTAATTTTTGCCTACCTGATGGGTGAA